TGCAGTTGCCCTGACCTGTTTCAGCTCCACCCAAAAAACTCCTGGCACTAACATGCCATTTGCAACCATCAGCCTGCTTGTCAGTTACTCTCCTCTCGCCCCCTGGGGGCAGTCTGGTCTCTTTGACGGAAAGCGCCCCAGGGCCAGGACTGTCTGTAACTCTGCAATGCCCAGCACAGTGGGGCCCTGTTCCCGGCTGGCCTCCAGCGCCTCTAATAAAAACAACAGTGGTGGGGAAAGTGATTAGATAAATGGTTCTGTGGGACGAACAACGAGAGGGATTGTGCACAACGAGCTCCCAGTGGGCCCACAGAAACCGAGAAACGTTTGTATTCCCCCATCTCCCAGGCAGTCTTCAGAGGTGCCCAGTGCAGGGGACTGGCATCAGGCCAGAGGTATGATCCGTAAGCTCACAATGGCCTTTTAAGCATGGTTCTTGCATAAAACGTGGGGGGAGCAAAGGAGAAAGAGAGATGGGGTGAGGGACAGAGGGGGCCACTGAGCAGGGAATGCCAGACAGTGCCCACGACTCCTCGAAGGCATCTGGAGAGTCAGTGGCTGCAGCCCAGAGGAACCCTGCCTGGAGACGTGGGATCAGAAGTGAGGGGGATCAGAAATAGGCCCCACAGTTGCAGAGTAGCCTCTATCCAGCTTCATGCTCCTGGGATGGCGGGTACCTGTGTCGGGAGGTGACAAGGGGGCCCTGTGGGGGTTGTAGATCAGGAGGGGCAGGGAGAGGTGCAGCCAGAACCAGAGGAGGTTCTAGAGGAGCCAGAAAGGGCTGTAGCCCGCACTTGAGGTAGGTGTGTACCAGGCTCTCCCTCGCTGAAGGAGGGGCCAGTGGCAGGGAGGGACTGAACGGTGCTAGGTGCACATCCATGCTCATGGGTCTGTGAAGCAGCTGCTGGGGTGAGTCATGGCAGCTGAGTGAGCAGCCCTGGCATGGCTGCAGGTTGCCTACAGGAGGGGCTGCGAGGGATTGCCCGATGCCTGGCCATAGGTGAGGAGGCAGGACCGTGAGGGATGGTGCGGCGGTGGAGGGGGAGCTGAATTGCGCAGCTGCCGAGTGGGAGGGAGGAGGTGGAAGCTGTGGTGGGAACAGGCGGGAGTGGGGGGAGGTGAAGGGGTGGGGTCCAAAAGAGACCAGAAGCAAGGAAGGGCCCAAGAAGCCAAAGTGAAAGGAGGCTGCGCAGGTGAAACAGGCCACTATGGCTACGTCTAGACAGCACCTCTGTCGACAGAGAGATGTAGATGAGGCACATCGAAACTGCTAATGAAGCTGGGATTTAAATGGGAGCAGATCGTACCCGTGGGGTGTGTGAGAGAGAAGCAGGGGAATCTTCATGGACTCAGGCCCAGCAAAGGAGCAGAAAGCCATACTCAGCCTGAAGAATCGCTGGATGTGCAACCCTGAGAAAAGCTGGGAGAGGTTTGGGGCTGAGTGCTGCCCACAAGGGGCTGGGAGCAAAGAAATGGTCTGCTGTTGTTTTGATTCCAGCTGGGGTCAGGGAAACCGGGTTCTGGGCCTGTTCTTTGTAACTAAACAGGATTACACCAAAGGAATGCCTGACTCCTCAATCCATTTTCACTCTCTCCCAGCAGAAACAACTTGGAAGACCCTGAACTTTGGCTCCCCATTAAGATCAAAGAGGGACCAACATATATACAGAGTAAGCATGTCAAGTACCCTGGAAAGCAATATGCCACTTGCAATTATAAAGGAAAAAAAAGCACCGTGTGAATCTTTAAACAGAATGACATGTATCTTTATGCCAAATATTTTTGCACTTAGTAGCTACAGTAAGCTTCGTCAGCTTTATTAATGAACTGACATTGTGCAGCCCTTGGAAATGTGAACTGCTATAAAGTGCTAAGTGTTATGATCTCCTAAGCACCCTGAGTTAAACCAAGAATTTGTGTTTACAAAGGAAAGATCCTTCCAGCAACCAGTAATGGTTTTAAATATTATGGTGATCAAATTAGAGATGTCACAGAGAGTTGGCAACTAGGCAGCCCTAATATAATTTAGGACTATTCCGAATCAAATTTTGTGCAGGATTATTCTGAATTATTCAGATCTATTTTAGGCTTGCAAATACAGTGAGATCTAAGCACAGAATTTAACCTGACGTGAAGGTTTTTTTAAAAAATCCAGGGGTTGGTTCCCATTGCTTCTTTCAGCTGTGACTGTCTCGATTCAGATATGTCAATTTCAGCAGCTGGGATGGGAGGAGCAGAAAAGGGTGGTCTGAGGCAGCCTGGGGGTGGGCCCAAGTGACCCCAGGTCCTCATGGGGCCAATGGAGAAAGAGCATAGCGAATGTACTGAGTTCTACAGGGGTCCCCTGGATCAGACATACGCATAACAGGTGAGTGGCGTGTGATACCTCTCCTGAGATCCAGCAGCCCATCATTGCGAAATGTACACACAGCTGCTATTTAATGAGTTATGTCTCTATATTGAAAATTAAGGCAGGTCACCAGGAGGTGACGTGCCTCAGACATGTACCTTTCAGGCAGGGGGTAACAGAGGCACAGCACCTAATCTTCTCGTGTGTGCAGTATGTTGTGGCCCTCCCAGCATTGGTCTGGGCAGCAGCAGGCTGTGAAATCTACAAGAAAAGAACGTCACAGGAAAACCAAACAGCAAGGGGATCCTCTTTAGGATGAAGGATTATTAAGGTCTGTCTGGAGGGCTCAAGGGAATACACCAAGGAGGCAAGTTTTACAGGTGTTTGTGTTATGACAGGAGAGGCTAGAAAATGGCGGAGAGTGATATTCCAGGGGCCAAAAAGTATCTTGTTAAGGAGATGGAGACTCTAGAATGCTTGTTAGCATTTTGGTTTATATGTAACAATTTGTCTCCAGTTTCTCCACTTGCTATTACTTAGGCCTGATTTCACTGCAAACAGATGAGTGCTGCGGTTAAGCAGAGCAGTGATCTGAGGCAAAGCTGTTTCTTTGGAAGCAGCAAATCTGTGAACACTGCGAGTGTCGGTGGACCGGACGTTGGACGCTCCAAGGAGATGCTCATGGGGTTGGAGTTTGGCAGCTGCTAACTTGGAGAGAGAGGAGAAGGAGTGTTGGGGGGCTGACTCCCAGCAGGCACTGATGAGGTTTCCTCATGCTCACGGGATGTGGTAACGAGGTGCCTCCCAGCCCTGGGTCCCATGTGGGAAGCATGACACCTGGGCTGGGGCATTGGCATGTTACTAGCATGGCAAGAGACACTGACCGAGTGAATCTATTTTCTATCTGTGTCTTGAAGATGGTTTTGATAGCAGCTCTGGAGCCAGATCCACTGTGGCCATTGGGTATTGCCGTTGTGACTGTGCATGGCTCTGTGCATCTGGTCCGTGGGGATTCCCGGAGCCATTGATGCCTCTTTCCCATCCCATGGGGGTTGCACACCCTGTTTTTGCATTTCTGGGGCTCCTCTGAATCTAAGCCAAGGCCACAAATGACAGCCCCTCATGCGTGATTTGAGGCAGATTCACAAAATGCTAGAGACTTGGATAGAACCAAGCAAGTTTTGTGGGGTCCTGACTCTGTGTGGGAGGCATGATATAGGGGACTGAGAGCCTCTACTGGGAGCTTGGGGGTGGCTAGAAACCCTGGCTGGGGTGTGTTAGTGCGGGGGGGAGGGGAAGTACAGACCCTGGCTGGGGTGAGTTTGCGTGCAGGGTAGAAACCCTGGCTGGGGTGACCGGGGGGGTTCACAGGTCCGAGGTGGGGGATCACAAACCCTAGCTCTGGGGGGAAGGGGAGCCCCTGGCTGTGGGGGGGAGAGTGATGCAAACCCTGTCTAGGGGCAGGGGGTACAGACCTTGGCTAGGGGCTGAGCCCTGAGGGAAGAGACCCTACCTGTGGGGGGG